CATCGACTCATAAAGCTGGCAATGTCCTTGATCTCATATTCTCAAGGAACTGCGCTACTTCTAACCTCTCTGTAAACCCGCTCCACACATCCGATCACTTCTTCATTTCATTCTCTCTACCCCTTTCCAAACATAACAAACTAATCTCTTCTCATCCTGCACTTGTCCGCCGTAACCTTCGCTCCCTCTCCCCCTCTACCTTTGCCTCGTTGGTGCTCTCAGCCCTCCCTTCCTCTGACTCGTTCCAACTCCTGCCACCAAACTTTGCTGCAGAAACTCTCCTCTCTACTCTCTCATCCTCTCTGGACTCTCTCTGTCCTCTCACATCTCGGCAGGCTCGTCAGTCCCCTCCTGCTCCCTGGCTAAATGATGCGCTGCGTGCTAATAGAACCGTCCTTAGGGCAGCAGAGCGGAAATGGTGGAAATCCAAACACCGTGACGACCTCCTAACCTATCAGGCTCTCCTCTCCTCTTTCTCTGCTTCGATCTCTCAGGCAAAAAGCACTTTCTTTCAAGATAAGATCCAATCTTCCTATTCCAATCCTAAAAAACTATTTTCCATCTTCTCCACCCTCTTGGACCCTCCAAAAGCCCCTCCCCCTCCTCACTTTTGTCAAGCGACTTTGTTACCCACTTTGAAAAAAAGGTTGATGATATTCGCTCTTCTTTTTCTGACTCACCTATACTCACCGCTGGGTCACCAGACCCTCCTTCCACCAACACATTAACCTCCTTTTCCCCTCTCTCTCCAAGTGAGGTTCTTACCCTCATTACTTCTGCCCGCCCTACCACCTGTCCTCTGGACCCTATCCCTTCAAACCTCCTTCAGACTATTGCTCCTGATATTCTACCGTTTCTCACCCATTTCATCAACACTTCTCTAACTTCTGGTCACTTTCCAAACAGTCTCAAGGAGGCAAGAGTAAACCCTCTCCTAAAGAAACCCACTCTCAACCCGTCTGATGTTATAAACTACAGGCCTGTCTCTCTCCTCCCGTTCCTGTCTAAATCACTTGAACGCGCTGTCTTTAAACAACTCTCCTGTTATCTCCATCAGAACAACCTTCTGGATCCGCACCAGTCTGGTTTCAAGGCAGGTCACTCCACAGAAACTGCTCTCATTGCTGTCACGGAGGAACTGCACACTGCCAAACTGCATCCCTCTCCTCTGTCATCATCCTGTTGGACCTGTCTGCTGCATTCGACACGGTGAATCATCAGATCCTCCTTCGCACTCTCCAAAAACATGGAGTTTCAGGCTCTGCTCTTTCCCTCCTCACCTCATACCTGAAAGACCGTACCTACAGGGTGACTTGGAGAGGGTCTGAGTCCGACCTTTGTCAATTAACTACAGGGATCCCTCAGGGCTCTGTTCTTGGTCCCCTCCTCTTCTCCCTGTACACAAACTCGCTCGGATCAGTCATTAGCCCGCATGGTTTTTCTTACCACTGCTACGCTGATGACACCCAATTAATTCTGTCCTTTCCCCGCTCATAGACCCAGGTCGTTGCACGCATCTCTGCTTGTCTAGCTGACATCTCTCAGTGGATGTCTGCTCACCACCTCAAGCTCAACCTTGACAAGACTGAGCTGCTCTACCTTCCGGGAAAAGATTGTCCCACTCTTGACCTAACAATCAACATCGGCACCTCAGTTGTTTCCCCGACTCAGACTGCAAGGAATCTGGGCAAACATCGCTGCTACAACCCGTTGCTGCAGATACACGCTTTACAACATCAGGAAGATACGTCCCCAGCTGACACAGAAAGCGACTCAGGTTCTGGTCCAGGCTCTCGTCATCTCACGCCTAGACTACTGCAACTCCCTCCTGGCTGGTCTACCTGCATGTGCCATCCGACCTCTGCAGCTCATCCAGAATGCAGCGGCTCGTCTGGTCTTCAACCTTCCTAAATTTTCCCACACCACTCCGCTCCTCCGCTCCCTTCACTGGCTTCCGGTAACTGCTAGAATCCACTTCAAGACACTGGTACTTGCTTACCATGCTGCGAATGGATCTGGCCCTTCCTGCATCCAGGACATGGTTAAACCGTACACCCCAGCGCGTGCACTACGCTCTGCATCAGCCAAACGACTCGCTGCGCCCTCGCTGCGAGGGGGACCCAAGTTCCCATCGGCAAAAACACGTGGGTTTGCTGTCCTGGCTCCAAGATGGTGGAATGAGCTCCCCATTGACATCAGGACGGCAGATAGCTTGCACATCTTCCGGCGCAAACTGAAAACTCATCTCTTTCGACCCCACTTCGAGCGTTAGAACTATTAACGAAGCACTTTTATACTAATAAAGGACTGGCTTACCTAAAGCCAGTTGAGTAGCACTTGAAATGTTTGGCTCTATGAAACCTGATGTACTTATATGATTCTGTTTTCTTCAAGGTTGTGTCTTCCTGGTCGAATGTACTTATTGTAAGTCGCTTTGGACAAAAGCGTCAGCTAAATGCAATGTAATGTATTTAATTATTTATGTATTTATTTAATTTTGGCTTAAATGGCATTCCATATAACTCCTCCAAAAAATATAGTTTATTTAATAATAACACTGAATATGTGAATCATAACAGTGATTGACAGCTGATAGGAATAATATGATTGTTAATAGTATCATATTAATTTAGACAAACATCGATGAGACAGTTAATTAATGTAGCCTACTTATTGCAGCAGTCTGCATTGATTTGGTACCCCTGCTGGTCTAAGAGTGAGACAAACTCATTCAGTTATTGTTCAGTTAACATTAATTAAATTATGTCTGCCACCTTATATATTTATGGTTTTACTGATGTGCCACAATAATGTCACCAAATGTTATTGAGTTAAAATATAAATATTGTGGCTTTCCAAGTTAACATTAATTGATATGACTGCGATTAAATCAGCATATACTTCTGCCAGGGGACGCCACCCCTGAAATTCTCCTGCCACCCTCTTGCCACCACATGAATATTCTTGTAGATCCGGCCCTGCTGCAGAGCAAGTCCAGCAAGTCAGACAAAATGACTAACCATCATGCAATGCACTAGCAAGACGGCGGTCACAATTGAGCAGGTCTGCGTCGGTCTCGCTCATCTCAAACGAGCCTATTGACTAGAGTGGTCGCGATCGCTGTGAAGGCCGCGGCGCAGACGGACCCGGTGGAATCTAGGGGTAATATTTACGGAAGTCACGGCGATCTGCGATGTCTACCTCTCAGGAACGCTGTGATTGGAAGAGGGTTACTTCCTCTTTCTATCCACCACTAATGTCCCTCTGTTATCACAATGCGATTCTAATCCAAGCAACTTTCAAATTGCACCTTAATAAAATGTTTTGAAGAGGATCTATATTACTGTCTATAGTCCTAAGGCAACTTTCACATTTTAACACATTCTTCAATGTTCTACCTAATTTGACAGTCATATGATCATAATTACAAACATACTTTTGTTTTATAATTTTGTAAATATGGTCATATGACTATTTCTAAACACAGTGTATTTAAGCTCAGATTCTTAAAGAAACTATTTGGGAGAACTCAATGCATTATTTTCCCTCCTCCTCATTAGCATTCTGTGCAACTAGTGCACATTTGGGATCCACTAGTACTATTAGTAAACATTTTAAGCCTCACTAGTTCACTAGTTGAATTTAAATGTATCTCACTAGTTAACAAGTAAAGGGCAAAAGGTTGACTAGTTAACGTGTAGACATTTTGAGCCCCACTAGTTATCTAGTAAGGTCAAAAGAGGCGTCAACTAGTGCAGACAAATGTATGCCACTAGTTAACTAGTTCTGCTTCTTTTTTGTAACTAGTTAACATGTCAGAGCTTTTGCAGCGCACTAGTTAACTTGTAAGACTTTTAGTGTCACTATACGGTCAGAGGGCCACTAGTTCATCAAAAAAGCTTACAAGTTGGGACTTTGGTGCTACTAGTGCCGCTCCCGGCGTCACCAGTAAGGCTTATGTAGTAACTAGTCAGACAAAAGTGCCACTAGTTGCTGAAAAAGAGCGACTAGTGTAATGTTTTATTGAACTAGTAAAGCAGAGTGCCAAACTAGTTTGACCATATATCTAACAAGTGCAATGAAAGAGCCAACTAGTGTAGGCAGCTGCCGTCTGATATCAAGGATATTGAATAAATACTTAAACGGCTTGCCATATATTTGTGAACATACTACCACTTGCCCTGTGGACCAACACGTTTTTTTGTGAGACTGGGTTGCCAAAGCTCCTGGTGTAATGTGTAGGTGGCCCAATACTTTGTTCTATATATTGTATGTTATGTGTGCTGGCAGCCAATAATCCATACTATTAAATAAAGCAAAGTTAATTCTCTTTCTTATGTTTCGTTTTTTCCGTATTTTTTTTTACAAAAACTACCGCTAAAAATATGGTTCAAAGTATCGGATCAATAAGCAGTATCGGTAAGAGTAGTATCGTTAAAATCTTAACGATACCCATCCCTAACGACAAGTCATTGATAGGTAGGCTATGTGTGGAATAGGAATGGAATAGTGATGTGATTATTTGCAACCTGCAGTACAAATATTAGTTAATGATTGATATATTTGCATTAAAAATATGTGAATTTAAACATCTACTACTCAGGGTAGTAGGCCTTCTAGTTTCAATTAGGCCTCATTATTCCACAGTGCACAGGATCATCTGCCAATACAAGCACTTTGGTTCATGTTCAATCCATAATAACATGTCAAACTAAAGTTGGATCTTTGTGTCTTGATATTATTAGCAGAGAAAAGGTAATGTTTGTAGTACAGTTGTACTATAGACAACTCATCCAATCTCGGTGGGAACTGGGTTGGGGGGGGGGGGGGCTCAAAAATATTTCCAATACCCTGACTGAAAAATGTGGAAACCACTTGCTCAAGGGTAGTTAATGGTCTTTCCTTTGTAATTTGTTGTACATTCATCCACTTACTGTTCATCTAGCCTACAACTTCAACGCAGACAAAAGTGCTAAAATGCTAGCATGAAAACCCGAAACCACATTGTCATCACAACAGGGGGTCACCAAGAGGGAAACCCCATAACAACTTCATGTAAGTTTAATTACACATTTCACCTTGTTGATAATTGACATAAAGGCAATACAGTAAAACATTTGTTATTACCTTGCTACAAAAGACAAACTACCATTAACATTTAACAGATATACAGAGAGCATGAACTTGCCATGCTAAACAAATATAAAAGGCATCAATATAACAGTTCATTATATTCAGAAGATACATGTAGTGCAAATGGCTCATGCTGTGCCAACAAGTACAACATACAGCTCAATATTATTAGACAACGTGCAACGGGACCCCTGAGAGAATTGAAAGAGTCAATAAAGGGGGAAAACAGGTCTGCAAGGCTTTCTATATGATTTGTATGATTATGCACATGGGTGAAAACATGTCACTAAGCTGTAAAGGAATGAATTACATCAACATCGGAGACTATTGCACAACACTATATGCAAATCTTTAAAAGAGCACGTAACACAGGGCTTGGATGTATGAGTGGAACTACAGGGTCAGAACTGCAGGTAGATGTTCCTCATGGACACAATGATCAATAACATCTATTGATCAAATATTTCCAATAAAAGAAAATACAATTTACAAACAGAAATACATGATCAATTGTTTAACCTATGGAGAATATGTGCAGTAATTACAAATGTGCTCTATCGACACAATAGATTAAAACAGATTATCCAACTGAAATGGGATTCAAACTGTCAGTGTATTATCCGGGAATTCAACGCAGATAACCAGCTTTCACCATTACACGAGGCTACCCTGCAGTGGTAGGATGAACAGGAAATGTCGATTCACAGATAATTTGCACTTTTGACACTTGCTTGATGCCGTTTGAACATGCTAGATACATGCAAAGATATAAATGCAGCAGGAGAAAATGTGTATGGTGGTTCAGGCAACATCTGGCATTGAAGCTCAACCAAATGAAGATAAACTACTTACTGTATAACCATCTCAAAACACAGGGATGAATTGTATTTGTATTTTATCTTGCAGGAAATGTGTAACAGAGGAACAGTATAGGCTCTACATTAGTGTTTGGTTGGTTAACAGAGCATCTGAATGAAAGACATTTACTTTCATTTAATTAATTTGGAAAGGTAAGTGTTCTCAAATGGCTTCAAGGGTATAATGAAGTTATTAATTAAGGAAAATAAAAAATAATTTCCACTAGAATGTACATGTGTGCCAAAGTAAAAAGAGAGTGGTATTAGATTCCTCTCGTCAGTAGGAAGACTGCTGCTGTTCTTTTCTAATAACACTCTCTTAACTAAGTATTACTACCAAGGAGGGTCCGGTAGGAAAATGTTGTTCCTTTTTAAGGAAGCCAGTCTAGCCATTTCTCTCTGCTTCCAGGCTTTATGCTAAGCTAAGTGTGGCCTTACTGAGTGTGCTTCTCAAGGTGTCAAACTAAACCAATGAAGAGAAGGCATACAGGGAATTTGTGTGGTGCCAGCGATAAGGTTATATGTGGTACATGTTACATATTATGGTAAAGCGGTATGTTATTGTTTGTATTGACATAAAGGATTCTACAGTGTTGCACAGAGCACAGATGAGTGTTCAGTAATAAACTGAAATTACTTTACTATTCTACCCAAGTCTGGTTTGAGCTGTCTGTTGTCCAATGTAACCAGGCAGGACGATACTCAGTGCCATGGCTCACCAGATGCTGTTAGAACCAACAAGTAATTAGTGTGTGTTCCCAGGAAACAAAGGCATCGAGTATATATAGCTCACACATCATGCGAACAAGATTCTGACACCATGCTGAGGCTGTTTGGGTTTTATTCCAGACGGTTTCACTTTATGCTCCAAGTTCTTTTCCAATTACATCACATTAGGAAGTTTGAAAGTGTATTCAAGTTTGCACTAGCTGATGATGTTGTATTATTGCTGATACATGGCCGGTGCAGAGGAGCAGGGTTCTGCTGGGGAACACTTCAGTATTGTAGGTTAATATGATATTCAGATGCATCAACAGTCAAACGGAGAGTTGGTCTGTGGGTTGCAGATAAACTTCTCATGTTGTTAATCTGTTCTGTGGAGACTTCGAGTCGCATCCTCAAACTTACTCTGACGCCATTTTCTCTATGTGGTCACTCAGCAACTTGTACTGTTCTGCAAAGGGTTAAAACACACACATATATCAGTTTTGAATTTGCAGAGTTATTTTTGTATAGCAGTGTTGTGGAAATATTTTCCAAGGCCCATAACTTTGACCCAGTGTATCAGTTCAAACTGTCCTGACTGAGCACAGGCACCTGTAACCTTGGCTGCTGTGCTCTCAGTGTTTTGTCTCCCTGTTCCTGCCTGTTGGCGTCAGCTGATAGAGGTGTTATCATTCTATCTTGTTATGCAGCATGTTGATGATGCTCTCTGAACTAGCTAAATACATGGGTCTGGGGTAGAGTTCTTCAGAATTGATGTGGCAACTCTACCGTGAAGTCAGAACCTCTGACTCTTGGACTTGTGATGTGAATCCTCCGGCCGTTAACTCCAAATAAACCATCATGTGTTTGACATCAAAGCTACTGCTCTTCCCGTGTCTCCTTGATGAGTCGGTGACTCCCACTGCATAGCTACACAGAAGTTTCCTCTACAAGCAGGAGTAAGACCTCATTTCCAAGTCCCATGTCATTTGTAGAGCAGAGACTGTGGACGTTTTAGACCATACAACAGCTCTCCCTTGTGGAGACCTGAAGCTTGCTAAATGTGAGTAAGTGTATGCTGGTGTTTGTGGATTACTATCTTACTCCATTACATGATTTACATCTAAAAACATCACGGAAGTATTTACTTAGGCTGAAAGCCTGAGAGAATGTATAGATGTATTTATTGCTTCAATGTTTTACCTTCATTCAGGCTCCCAATGACCGCCTGCTTCTTCAGGAAGTCATTGCAAAGCTTCTTACTGAGCCCAAACGCCAGCATGTTATGAGTGAATGTCCTGAAAATACACATAGCACCAAACTCATGTCAGTACAAATGGAAGTTATTTCAAACATACGCTACATTCTGTATTCATCATTTCAAGAAAAATATGGTGCCATAAGTGCCACAAACGCAGTGTGTGTGTCAATATAAATGAAATGAAGATAACCTTGATATTTAAAAAGTAAAGTATTGAAAATGAAATATATAGTATCTAATACAAAAATGCTTGCCCTCCATTCATGCCCTTCCCCTACAGCCCACACATGCAGGCCAGATGTTAGGCACTGTGGATTTCTTCCATTCATATTCCCTTTGCTCTTTCCAACTTTTGTACAGTTGTGCTTAGACGGTCTCTACTCCTCTCTTTGAATACACTTGGACTATACTTTGTGCGTATAATTAATTAGCTAAAACCATGCACAATAGTGAACATCTAATGAGTCTGCGATCTGGTCTAGCCCTATTGTGTGTAGGGAACATCTAATAATGTGGTATGTAAATCCAATAAGAAGGACATCTTTGATTCTCTGGCAGCCTCTTACCCCAGCTGGCCGAAGGCGATGTTCTCATCCATCTTGGAGCTGTCGTCCCTCTCCTCCTGGGTCATGTGACACCACTTCTCCCTGCAGCACAGACACAGTGGCAGTCAGCCTTTCATTCCAAAGTCTCCACTGAACATGCAGCTTCTCTACAGAAACAGTTCACTTTATGATGGGATGCAACAACAGGGATTCCATTAACCCTAAATCAAATCAACAATAACATAGAAAACAATAAGACATTAACCATCCACTAGCAAAATAATAAAAACAAAGAATTAATTCACAGTTGTTAACTAACAACAACAGATGAGTAAACTACGGTGGCTGAGAGGTGCAATCGACAATTACAAAGTGTGAAACACTTTAACAAAGCTTGAGACAAATTTACATTTTATAAAACAAAATTACATTTTATAAAACAAAATTACATTTTATAAAACAAAATTACATTCGCAAACACTTTTGCCAAAGAAAAAACAATTGAACATTAACAAAAACAAATTAACAAGATGCGAAACACTTTAACATTTGCCGAAACACTTTAACAAACTAGAGAATCAAACCGGAAAGGGAATGCCCTTCATACCTGACGTGACGTGCAAGTGATTGACACAAACTGAAGTTTGTTTTGGCGGATAGACCGCCGGTACCTATGGACGGTACGAGTGTGTTTATAGTCGTTAAACATGTTTTGTCCGTTCTGTGGAAACCACCTGGGCCAAGTGACATGCTCATCACGATATACTTTCTCGTGCGCAAGAGATACATTCTCGTGCACACGAGAAAGTTAGAGGTTCGCCAAGTAGGAAGTGGAGCTGAGCCTTTTACACACAGCCTTCGCTGTGTTTACCTTCATTAGACAGCTAAATAGCGACTGCAGGCTGCTTCGTTATACACACCCACACACACACACACACACACACACACACACACACACACACACACACACACACACACACACACACACACACACACACACACACACACACACACACACACACACACACACACACACACACACACACACACACACACACACACACACACACACACACACACACACACACACACACACACACACACACACACACACACACACACACACACCACACACACACACACACACACACACACACACACACACACACACACACACACACACACACACACACACACACACACACACACACACACACACACACACACACACAGAACTGCCCGATTATTCCCCCTATTACTCATTTTGTGAAGGAGATGTCCGGTCCACAAGGCGCATGACATGTGTGTGTGCTGTGCTCAGTTCCGCTCTGTGTGTATGTTCGGTGTGTTTGTGTATGTCCGACACCGGCATTTGTTTTCAAATGACCATGAACAGTAATGTACACACATCTGGCCAACTCCATAGGTATAAGTGTGTGTTCCCAAATGAAATAAATGTGTTTAATCTCGATGTAGTGCTCAGTGCTGTCGGAGTGCAGGGGAACACTGCGGTCAACTCAGCTGTCTCTCGCGTTTGCTTCGTCAAATCAGCTCTTCATTTTTGAGTGCGCAATTAATCGCGCCTTTACGTTAATCGACCGAGAAGCGGCACTGACGCTAAAAGAGTAAAATAATGCATGTTTTTGTGCTATATTTGCGATACAAATATGTTTTACCATAAGTTATTAATAAAACTGACACAGTAAAAGTACTTCATTGTATTGTTGCTAGCAGTCAAACTAGTGCTGAATCAAACAGTGTCAGTTTTATTAAGAAGTTATGGTGCAAATTATTTATATCGCAAATAAAGCAGAAAAAACATGCATTATTTTACTCTTGTACTACTAGCGTCAGTGCCGCTTCTCGGCAATTACCGTAAAGGCCCGATTAATTGCGCACTCAAAAATGAAGAGCTGATTTGACCAAGCAATTGCGAGAGACGGCTGAGTTGACCGCAGTACCGGAACGGACGACACTATCTTAATATCTTCTGAAAACAAATGCCAGTGTCACACACACACACACACACGCCCTGGTGACCGGACATCTCCTTCATAAATAGAATAATAAGGCGTAATAATCGGGCAGTTCGATGTTTGTGTGTGTGTGTGTGTGTGTGTGTGTGTGTGTGTGTGTGTGTGTGTGTGTGTGTGTGTGTGTGTGTGTGTGTCAGAGTTCCCGTTAGCCGGTAATTACCGGACTATGCCGGTAAAATATGCTGAAGACCGGAAAATCTAAATCTCTCTGGTCAAAGTGTCCGGTCAAAATAATTTTCCCCTTACCGCATCAGTTGCGCAACTTGCGCAACTTGCGCCACTTATGTGACAGACAAAAGAGTATGTGACAGACAAGAATAGTCAATTATAATGTCTAACACTTAATAAAGAAAGAGATGTCCTGTATGGGTTGATTGTGCGGTGGGCATGTAAACAAATGCATAATGCTGCGCTATACTTTGTGGCCTCACCCGGTTGCATAGCGATGCTTATTGTTTAGGTGTCTTTTAATAAGCAGGTAGTCATATCATTAGCTAGAACTAGCTGGATCTGATCGATATGGACATAAACGCGAGTAAAGTCTAATCTGACGGGAGAGAGAGATCAGCTGCTGCTGACGAGTGGACACGCAGCTCTGCATGATCACATGCAGCGGTGAGCGGACAAAACACACACTTCAGGTTAGAATATCACACGTAGCTATTTTAATTACCTCTCAAACTACCTGAACTAGATATGTTTAGTCTTACTGTCGGGTCACTCATTACTGATCCACGAGCTGCATGATACTGACGGGCTGTCAGGAGAGGGAGAGAGCCAGGGTCGGCTCTAGAACAAATCAAATGGGGGGGCAATCATTTACCAAGGGGGGGCACATACTGCCGTCAACAACCAACACACAAACACCAACGCAACTTCAATTAAAAAAAACATGCTGTAAAGTTTATTGTCTTTCACACACATTGCAGGGTGTAGTGCTATTTTATAGCGCACCTATGACTTGTGCATACATGCACGGTTGTGGCACGACCACCAAAACAGAAACATATGGACATAGGCCACCATATGAAAAGTGTGCAAATGTATTTAGTATCCTATCCATGTGAACATGTTTTAGGTGGGGGGTGGACCTAACCTCCTCTAGGAGGGTCCGGGGGCATGCTCCCCCGGGAAGATTATTTTTAAAATATTGAAGTTAAAAGCATCAATCTGGTGCACTTTGAGAGCAAAGTGAAGAGATCTATGGATAGCCTATATACATCTCTCAACATCCATATGAAACAGAACTGTACACAGATTTACTTTTTCTTTATGGATATTTTACTAATCATTCCCCTTTTAAATGGTATTCTTGTGTTATTGTCCTATAGTAGGTCATTCCCGTTTTTCATTTATTCTCTTATTCTTTAATAACTATAATGATCATATAAAGGTAGCCTATTCCTCGCAAATACTTGTTTACATAAATGGTCACCAAACCGTTTGAGACCCACTGAGATAACTTACACTAAAGTGAACTATCTAAACACTGAGAGAGTCCTTACCTCACTGAGCTGAGGTTATACGATCCTCTCAGTCTGACAGGAGAGGACTCTCCTCCACCTTGGTGTAGAAACAGCTCTTTATATCCGTTAGCATAGCTAGCTAACCAGATGCTAACAACAATATTCCACGTTACCGCTCGCGCACTGACAAAATGCGCTCGTGCCACACACAGAGAGCCGAGCTTGAATGAAACACAGAGACCCATGTACTTGTACTGTACTGTATATCATATTATTTTCGATGGCTTTACTGTATAATCAGTATAACAGATGGACAGATCGCCACTGGGCTTTCATCTAAACACACAGCCACGTAATGATAACAAAACAAAAGTCGGGGTCATTGGTCAAGCAACACACCAATCAGAGAGCAGCAGTGAGCACACCTCAGGCTGTGTTTCATATAAAGAATAAATAAAGAATACAAATGTGTATTCTTTATTTCTGATGTATTTCACACAAAAAACTTTTGGTGGAAACGTTTTAACTTATATGATTAAAAAAAACAAAAAACGGCAAAGTGGCAATAAGGCTTGCCCACCCTGCGTTGGGGGGGGCACAGTGACTCATTTGGGGGGGCATGGCCCGCGAATGACCCCCCATGACGCCGACCCTGGAGAGAGCGCTCCGTTTATTATTCCTGAATAATGTAGTTAATCTACTATAATTAGTTTGTTTAATATCGAATCATATCAATTTGTTTTAAAGCTCAATAAATAACAAAGAAGACCTTTGACCGGCACTTTTCAAATGTTGTCCAGAAGATTTCAACTTTAACGGACATGTTGACCGGCGAAAAAATATTCTAACGGGAACTCTGGTGTGTGTGTGCGTGTGTTTGTAGAAGTGTGTGTGGCTATAACGAAGCAGCCTGCAGTCGCTCTTTAGCTGTCTAATGAAGGTAAACACGAACGTATCTCTTGTGCACGAGAAAGTATATCGTGATGAGCAAAAACCATGTCACTTGGCCCAGGTGGTTTCCACAGAACGGACAAAACATGTTTAACGACCATAAACACACTCGTACCGTCCATAGGTACCGGCGGTCTATCCGCCAAAACAAACTTCAGTTTGTGTCAATCACTTGCACGTCACTTCTGGTATGATGGGCATTCCCTTTCCGGTTTGATTCTCTAGTTTGTTAAAGTGTTTCGGCAAATGTTAAAGTGTTTCGAGACTTGTACATTTGTCTCAGTTCTTGTAAAAGTGTTTCGCTAATGTCATTTTGTTTTATAAAATGTTAATTTGTCTCTAGCTTTGTAAAAGTGTTTCTCATCTTGTTAACTTGTTTTTGTTAAATTGTTTTTTCTTTGGTAAAAGTGTTTCGCTAATGTAATTTTTTTTATAAAAGGTAAATTTGTCTCAAGCTTTGTTAAAGTGTTTCACACTTTGTAATTGTCGATTGCACCTCTCAGCCACCGTAGTAACGAGTGAGACAGTAGTATCATTTATTTCTTAATCAATACCAATCAATTAATCATTCTGTGATCAAATATTTGAAATTGCAGATCTGTACAGCTTAATCCACCTTTTATTGTATCTGCATGTTTTTAAATGTATATTTAGAAATTCTTCCCAGTGCTCTTTGCAACCTCTGTGAAAAAGGTGATCATACTCCGTCATGGCTGCACTTTCATATGAACGATTGGTCACCACACACACACACACACACACACACACACACACAACACACACACACACACACACACACACACACACACACACACACACACACACACACACACACACACACACCACACACACACACACCACACACACACACACACACACACACACACACACACACACACACACACACACACACACACACACACACACACACACACACACACACACACACACACACACACACACACACACACACACACACACACACACACACACACACACACACACACACACACACACACACACACACACACACACACAATGTCAGAGGTCAGTCACCACTAATCCCAGTTGACAGTTTGAACTCAAAGTCAAGAGTGAAAATTCTTAATAATTCTCCATGTTCAGACTGAAGAAAAAGTTAGAGCTAAATGCACACAAAATTACAAATCATGTAACCACATCCGTACCAGGTCAGAAAATGCTGTATTTATTTGTATCTATCTCTCTGTCCCATTCGATTTATTTATGATTTCCAAACAACCGCTACACTGGACCGCCATGATGGAACCAGATGCAGTTCTAGAAGGTTTCTGATATAATTGCAAAGCTTCTGTCCTTCTCCTCTCCACCTAGATTAACCTTTGCTTTGATTTACTAGATTTCTTTGGGCAAAGCAATAGAAAGACAGACCTCTCGTCTTTCTCTTCTTCCTGCGTTCCCCCGCCCGGCAGCAAAGCACAGGAAGACAAAGGGTTAAAGTCAACATGCACATAGAGGGAGGAAAATAAGAGCTAGTAGACAGGAAGAGTACAGGAGGAGAGGGTTGAGAAGAGAGAAGAGGAGGAGAGCAAGAGAGGAGGGGATGTGGCATCAGGACATTAGCAGCAGTACTGAACACCACTGTCTCTCTCTACACGCAGCTCTGCACACTACTTTACTCTAAGGTGGTCAACCTGTGTATATTTCATTGGACAGATTTGTCACACTGGCACTTACAAAGAACAACAACCCACTGATTTAAAAAGATACCGCAATATCTGTACAACATGGTAACATGTTTATAATAATATAGATTTATTCATCTGTCTACTTTCCTTTGCAGACTCACCTCGTGGTGGGGGATCTTTTCTTCCTTTCACAATCGACGGCATCAAAAAAAGCAGCATTCCAAAATCTAAGTGTATGCCTGGCAGAGAGGGAGGACGTATTAGAGGGATCCTGTCTGACCGGCGTCACGAGGACAATTCCATTTCAAGTCAAAGTGAGAAATCATAAAATATCAGTCTCCCATATTGTCTTCTGTGACCAGATTTTTTAAACTGGAAGATTAGATCCAAATACATGAAACATTGGTACTTGAAATATTTGTGTCATTAATAAGGAACGAAGAGCTGATATGAATGAGCAGTTTGGGACTATTTCGGCACAGCAAACCTGCAGGCAATACAGACTGTTGGGCCAAATTCCCGCAGCCAATCAGTATGGGTTTAGATCAGTCTCACACACATTCACACTTGTATTTCAGGATCCACAGTTGTGTTTTTCAATGCACACAAATGTGTTCCGTTTCATATACATGACATCAAATACAGAAAAAAGTTTTACATATGTATTTTTGATCCACACATTTGTTTTCCGTTTAAAACCTCTGAACCTGCAAACAAACCGCTTTCTGTGCACGGGTCGCTGTGCATTTGTGTGTGGGTTGTTTTAGACTCCCCTGGCGGTCACCCGATTTGTACTTGTAATTTTTTCTATCTATAGCCAATCAGATGTCTCCTCCATTCTAAGCCAATTACATGAGCGCGTCCCCACGAGGGTATGATTTATTGCGTTCATGACGTAGAACTTCATATACGCATTTCGCGCTGTCCGGAGCTGACAGGCCCATGGAGCCTGCCTGCAGGCGCTAATCTCAGGACCGAAGGACCGTAGTATAGTCGTCTTTATTTTTACGTTATTATTATTCAAAGATAAATAAGGAAGTGTGTGTTATATGAGATGGCAGAGAGGTTTCAGCTCCGATTATTAAATCAAAAGAGGCTTAATGTTTTCTATTATATTATTTCACTATAGCTACGGTGTCAAGGTCCAATGTTGACCAAATTAATCAATAGCGGGTGTAACTAAAATACAAGTTGTCTTTATTTATTTATATATACACTGAACAAAAATATAAATGCAACACTTTTGTTTTTGCTCCCATTTTTCATGAGATGAACTCAAAGATCTAAAACATTTTCTATAAACACAAAATAACCATTTCTCTCATATTGTTCACAAATCTGAAAACATCTGTGATAGTGAGCACTTCTCCTTTGCCGAGATAATCCATCCCACCTCACAGGTGTGGCATATCAAGATGCTGATTAGACAGCATGATTATTGCACAGGTGTGCCTTAGGCTGGCCACAATAAAAGGCTACTCTAAAATGTTCAGTTTTATCACACAGCACAATGCCACAGATGTCGCAAGTTTTGAGGGAGCGTGCAATTGGCATGCTGACAGCAGGAATGTCCACCAGAGCTGTTGCCCGTGAATTGAATGTTCATTTCTCTACCATAAGCCGTCTCCAAAGGCGTTTCAGAGAATTTGGCAGCACACCCAACCGGCCTCACAACCGCAGACCACGTGTAACCACACCAGCCCAGGACCTCCACATCCAGCATGTTCACCTCCAAGATCGTCTGAGACCAGCCACTCGGACAGCTGCTGCAACAATCGGTTTGCATAACCAAAGAATTTCTGCAGAAACCGTCTCAGGGAAGCTCATCTGCATGCTCGTCGTCCTCATCGGGGTCTCGACCTGACTCCGGTTCGTCGTTGTAACCGACTTGAGTGGGCAAATGCTCACATTCGATGGCGTCTGGCACGTTGGAGAGGTGTTCTCTTCACGGATGAATCCCAGTTTTCACTGTTTAGGGCAGATGGCAGACAGCGTGTGTGGCGTCGTGTGGTTGAGCGGTTTTCTGATGTCAATGTTGTGAATCGAGTGGCCCATGGTGGTGGTGGGGTTATGGTATGGGCAGGCGTATGTTATGGACGACGAACACAGGTGCATTTTATTGATGGCATTGTGAACGGCATGACCAGTGTATGGAACTCCAACCTCCCCCGTCAAATCAAACTCAGCTTCTTCTATGCAACGGTAGAGTCTGTTCTCCTCTATGGCAGTGAATGCTGGACCCTGAAGCCAACCCTGCAAAAGTCTCTAGACGGATGCTACACCAGAATGTTGCGAGCAGTATTTAACATCAGCAAGAGTGTACATTTAACCAATAACATCCTGTACGAGGGAATACCAAGGGTGAGCGAGAAAATTGCAGCCAGGAGAATGAGACTAGCAGGACATAGCCAAATGCATCAAGAGCTGCAAGCCGGCAAATTGGTGCTGTGGGAACCAACACACGGGCATCGGTCACGAGGACGTCCCGCACAAACATACGTGGACGTACTCAAGAACGACGCAGGAGCACAAAGTACCAATGAACTGGCCAGATGTATGGAGAACCGGGATGACTGGAAGCGACGATGGAGAATTCGTCTGAGGACGACCTAGAGAGATTGTGAATGCACAGAGATACCGTGACGAGATCCTGAGGCCCATTGTTGTGCCATTCATCCACGACCATCACCTCATGTTGCAGCATGATAATGCACGGCCCCATGTTGCAAGGATCTGTACACAATTCCTGGAGGCTGAAAACATCTCAGTTCTTGAATGGCCAGCATACTCACCGGACATGTCACCCATTGAGCATGTTTGGGATGCTCTGGATCGGCGTATACGACAGCGTGTTCCAGTTCCTGCCAATATCCAGCAACTTGGCACAGCCATTGAAGAGGAGTGGACCAACATTCCACAGGCCACAATCAACAACCTGATCAACTCTATGCGAAGGAGATGTGTTGCACTGCGTGAGGCAAATGGTGGTCACACCAGATACTGACTGGTTTTCGGACCCCCCCAATAAAGCAAAACTGCACGTTTCAGAGTGGCCTTTTATTGTGGCCAGCCTAAGGCACACCTGTGCAATAATCATGCTGTCTAATCAGCATCTTGATATGCCACACCTGTGAGGTGGGATGGATTATCTCGGCAAAGGAGAAGTGCTCACTATCACAGATTTTTTCAGATTTGTGAACAATATTTGAGAGAAATGGTTATTTTGTGTATATAGAAAATGTTTTAGATCTTTGAGTTCATCTCATGAAAAATGGGAGCAAAAACAAAAGTGTTGCATTTATATTTTTGTTCAGTGTATATATATATATATATATATATATATATATTTATTATTAATAATAATAATATAAAAGATTGTATTTGCGTGTATTTCCTGTTCGGAAAGTGGCGCTGTACTGAGAGTGGCGATTTTATTTTGTAATTATATAATACTTGTAATAATGGTGCGTTCACACCGGACGTGATGCGAATAATCGCTCGAGTTTCACCCCGCGGCTGTCAAATGTGTTTACTCGCCTCATTCATCTGTGTCAGCTTCTCGAGCCGTATCTGGCCGTGCAACACGTACATTGTAACATACTGTATGCCGAAGTGTTATTTTAAAAAACACATTAAGTTGACGAAACACTTGAGTCAAATGTCAGATCCACTCGTGTGTTAGACGGGGTAGTGATATCATAAACCTGTTGTACGCATTCAAACACTGTCGTTTTTTTTTTTTTAACCAGCTGTTCTGTATTCACCTTGCAGGTGTTGCTATGTTGCTTTTATCCTGGATTAAGTGTTTAAGTAATGGATGTTTAAAGTTTAACTTATTCATATTTATCTAATATTATAGTTTACTTTTCATTCATGAAGTATAACGCTGCGCTGTCAGTACACTTGTCCATGTTTGTGATTGGTCAAATGTTGCTAACCCCGCCCCTTTCAAGCGCTCTCAGCCAGACAGAGAAACTCTGGGTTGATTTATCGAGTTGATAACCAACGTCGTAGGACCGCTTAGCGAGATCGCGTTTGTTTTGGGTTAGCTAAGCCAGATAACTCAAAGATATCCAGGGTATGTTGAACTGGCTTCGTCGTACAGGCCAGCTAAGCTAACCCAAGGCTGCCAACATTTGAGTTCAGCTTGGAGTGAGATTTTTTTTTTTGGTGAACCGAAAAAAGAAACGTTCATGTGTACATTGTTACAAATGTATTGAACATGTACAAACTAGGGTTTCACATTAATGTACCGGGCGCTACAGTGGAATACGCACATACAGTGTACCCGCGACTCTTACAATGAAGGCTCGATAATCAGCTCGCCGCATATAGGTGTAAGCAGAGGTAAAGTGCTATTTTATAAGTGGGAGGGGGTCCTCACCTCCTCTAGGGGGGTCCGGGGGCATGCTCCCCCGGGAAGATTTTGTTTTTTTAATATTGAAGTTAAATGCATCAATCTGGTCCACTTTGAGAGCAAAAGGAATTTATGGATACATCTCTCAACATCCATATGAAACAGAACTGTACACAGATTTTCTTTTTCTTTATGGATATTTTACAAATCACTCACCTTTTAAACTGTATTCTTGTTTTACTGTCATATAGTATTTCATAACTGTTCATTTATTCTCATAAATGGTGACCAAAACGTTTGAGACCCACTGAGATAACTAGACTAAAGTATCTAAACAGAGTCCCTTACCTCACTGAGCTGTAGTTATCTCTCAGTCTGACAGGAGAGAGCTCTCCCTCTCCTTGTTTTAGAAACAGCTTTTAATATCCGTCAGATGCTAACAACAACAATGCAAATAGTGAGTTTGGTAGAAATATACTGTATAATAGTAAAGTTATTAAAGATGATGCCATATTTATTGAAGATTTTACATTATAAACAGGGGTGCACATAACTTTTTTGCCCTGGTTCTCAAAGGAGCACCTGGAGATGTTGCTTGGTGCTCATCCTTAAAATGAAATAAACCGTAACTTTTGAGGGGGTCTGGACTTTATTTGCCAGACACACGGCACTGAACACACATGCAGAGGTGAACACTGAACACACATGCAGAGGTGAACACTGAACACACATGCAGAGGTGAACACTGAACACACATGCAGAGGTGAACACAGAACACACATGCAGAGGTGAACACTGAACACACAAGCAGAGGTGAACACTGAACACACATGCAGAGGTGAACACAGAACACACATGCAGAGGTGAACACTGAACACACAA